TGTCCTGGTTTGTTTCTTCATTGCTGTGACAAAACACTCTGACCACTACCAACTTGGGGAGGAAAGGGTTTATTTAGCTTATATCTCCCAGGTCGCAGTCATCAGGGAGCCCAAGGTAGGAACTCAGGGCAGGAACCTGGAGGCAGGAGCTGGAGCACAGGCCATGGAGGAACGCTGCTTACAGGCTTGCTCTTTTGGCCCCTGCTCAGCCTGCTTTCTTATGCAACACAGGCCCACCTGCCCAGGGGTGGCACCACCCACAGTGGGCTCGGCCCTCCCACATCACTCATCAAGAAGATGCCCTTCAGACATGGCCACAGGCCAGTCCAATAGAGGCAATTTCCCGATTGAGGCTCCCTCAACCAAGGTGTGTCAAGTTGACACTAAGGCTATCCAGCACACTGGTTTACTAAATGACTACAACCACAGGCATCTCTGTGGCTTACTCTGTGGGGGAGGAGCCTTGAAATAGTAAATGTCATTGGACACAATGGGAACAACACAGCCTGTTTCAAGGTCCTTCTTCTATGATAGCATTAATGAAGAAGAAACTGTGTTTTGTTTGATGAGATTTCCAAAATGGTATAAGACTGACATGTGTATTATGTGTTTTTATCATTTATTACTTATCTCAATACCTTACTTTCTTGTAATACAACTACCACCAGGAGGCTGGCAAGATAAGCCTTCCTGTAACAAGTACAATGGGTACAATAAAGGTCATGGATCACAGACGAGCAGCTTAGACACTGTCCTAGATTTGGGAGTTTACTTTAGTTGCTTTCTTCCTGTGACTCTTCCTGAACAGTGAACATAACTCATGTTCGTATTGATGACTTGGTGTTGTGTAAGTGGCTAAAAGGCAACTGAGCAGGCATTTCCTACAGAACTTTTCATTTAGCAGCATGGTCAAAACGAGAATGAAAAAGTGGCCCCTAAGGAATGAGCTTCAGATGGTTACAAAAGACACTTAACAGTATAAAAGAGTACATATGGGTGGGGAAGTATATCCACGTACACAGGACAGAAATTAAGCCCAGCACCCTCCCTTGGGAGAGGTGCTTATGGGCGGAGTTATGTTCTGAGTCTCACATCTTCAGTTGTTGAGATCAAAATCTACTCTACATCCAGTCTTCAAATGCTTTCCAACTTTGGATCAATTAGTCATTTTTCCTTTCCTACTTTTTCCATTGTAGCTTTGTATTCAAACTGTCAGGTTTCCCAGGCACATGTTGCCATAGGAGACTCTGTTTGTTGAGGGTGGAATGGTTGTTTTTGGCAGGTTGGGGGAGGAGCAATTAATTCTAATAGGTATATAATACATTAAACAGCTAAGTCTTTCCAAAGTTTCTCTATTCCTAAACTTTTTATAAGTCCCCTTCTCTTCCCAGGACAGTTTAGGAGTAGAAAATAAATGGCATTGCACAACGTAGGAACATAGGTGAACTTACATGCATGCAGCCAATGTACTCACACATATAAAATAAAAATAATAAGTAGACTAATTTTTTAAAAAATTAAAAAGAACTTATTTGTACTCACTGTAATAGACGCCCAGTGAGACCTAGAGAGGGTCACCTAGGCTGTGACTGCACCTGTCAACATGCCTTTCCTGGTGTTCTTGCGATGAGAAGCTATTCATGATAAGGACTTTACAAAGAGTAATTACCCAGGATTCTTTACTGAACCCATTCAAAAGTGTAAACTGAAGCTGGAGAAACCACTCAGTTGGTAAAATGCTTACCTTATAAGTACAAGGACCTGACCTTGATCCCCAGAACCCATTTAAAATCTGGGTGTGGTAATGTGTTCTTCTAATCTTTTTAAAATGATCAATTTCCACCAGGCGTGATGGGGCATGCCTTTAATCCCAGCACTCCAGAGGCAGAGGCAGGTGGATCTCTGTGAGTTCAAGGCCAGCCTGGTCTAAATAGCGAGTTCCAGGCCAGCTGGAGCTACAGGGAGACCCTGTCTCAAAAAGACCAAAAAAAAAAAAAGAAAAAAAAAGATTGATTTCCTTATTTTTATTTTATGTGTATGAGTGTTTTATGTACACATATGTAAGTGCACCATGTGTGCAATGCCTGTGGAGGTCAGAAGAGGGAGTGTCAGATCCCTGAGACTGGAGTTATAGACAGTTGTTAGCTGCCACGTGTGCTCTGGGACCTGAACCTGGGTCCTCTTGCAGAGGACCCTTAACCACTGAGCCATCTTTCCAGCACCTGTATTTCTATTCTTAATACTAGGGAGGTGAGATGGGTGGAGCCCTAGGACTCTCTGGCCACAGCCTAGTGTATTTGGCAAGTTTTAGACCAGTGAGAGGGCTTTTCTCAAAGAAAGGGGAAAGAAAGGAAGGAAAAAAGGAAGGAAGGAAGGAAGGAAGGAAGGAAGGAAGGAAGGAAGGAAGGAAGGAAGGAGATAGATGAATGGTACCCAAGAAATGACACCTGAGGTTATCCTTTGACCTCCACAAGCATTCACACATACACATGCACATGCACCTACACAAGGAACATACACACGCAAAGTAGAGGCTGTTCTTATGAAAAGATAGTCATTGAAGCTAACTTCAGACCCACTATTAATTCTCTACACTATTATATGTAAAGTAAGCTTTTGGGGAGACCTGTGAGTTTTTATAGACTATTTATACAGATAAGAAAAAAATTAACTTATGAAGTTCGGCTAATGAATTAGTTAAGACTGAGGGAAAGGGAGCTGGAGAGATAATTCAGTGGTTAAGAGTACTGACTGAGGACCCCGGTTCAATTCCCAGAACCCACATGGCACCTAGCATGCCTTCCATAACTCCAGTTCCAGGGGATCTGACACCATCTTCTGACCTCTGTGGGCATTGCACAACATGGGTGCACTTACACACATGCAGGCAATACATTCATACACATAAAATAAAAATAATAAAAAATAAAATATTTTTTAAAAAGACTGAGAGAAAAAGTAATAAATCTTAGTATTAGATGAGTAAATGGTGCTCTAAGCACTTGAAAAAGGAAATTCCCAGGAATCTAAGTAGATGGATCTGGCCCTCCAAGAACATCCATAGGTGTTCAGGAGCACTGGTTGGCCCTCAATTCTGATTATTTGGCCACAGTTTTGTACCCAAGTCCTGATTATGTCAAATTTTCTGGAGCTAAAGTAATTGGCTCCAGTGTTAAAGACAAACGCTCCTCTCTGAATCTTTGTCTTTTATCCCAGTGAGGCCTGTGTTGGAAACAGAATTCATTTTCACTTCCTGCTTTCAGCTGACATTACTGTTCAGCTGTGCAACAGCTGTTGAGTTCCACTTCACAAGTAGCAGCTTTTCAGTGGTTGGCAAACTGGTGCACATCTGGAAGGAGATGTTCAAATGACCTCAGGACCCCACAGAATACATCAAAACACTGAAGTAAGCCTTGGATGAGCTCGTTCTGACGTAACTCAATTGCTGAAAATTATTTCATGGCCATTATTGAGTTGAGTGATCTATCTCATCAAAGCACAGTAGACTAGGGAATTGTCCCTGTATTTGACATTTAAGGAGGGTGGTGACGAGGAAGTGATTTTCACATGTTGATCTCAGAACTTGAGTTCTATGATCCAAAGAGCATGACCACAAAATGTTTCCTGAGGCTTTGCATTTGGGTATGAGCTCGAGATAGTGTGCCAGAGTTGCAGAGCAGGTGGGCTGACTAATGAACACTTCAAGAGATAGCTTGCTGGAGAAGCAATGTATTGGTCTGCTGCACTGATTTTTAACCACTTGCTTCTGTTCTTATTGTACGTTCCTTTTTGGGGTGAAACACTCCATTAACTCTGGTTTAGTCTGGGCCCCTTTCCCATTTTGGTTCCTGTTCACTGGCAGCAGTAGCAGGCGTGGATAGAAATAGTTCAGTTCTTCCCACTCTAATGTTTGGACTAGCTGCTGTGCATCAGGTGGCTGCACATGTGGGAATATTTCTGTGCTGGCTCTGGTGTCCTCAAACATGGGACTAGTTGCACCTTGGACAGACACCATGTGAATCATCATAGCACCTGAAGGCTGCTAGGTCTCTAAGTACCAGGCTTCAGCACAACCAAGGAAGGGCATAAAGACAAGAAGCAACATAAAGGCAAGATAAGTGACAGATAATGCTGAGCTCTGCCTGACCCTGGCTGTGTGATCCTGGAAGAGTCTTATCACTTATATACATTTCTGTTTTCTTACTGATAAAGCTAACATTACCTAAAACATGGGTGGCTTTTCCTTATGGTTAACAGGATTAAAGCGTGAAATTGTAACCCACATGCTATAAAGATTTGTTATTATAAACTTGCTCATGTGAACTTGCAACAATGGTGAGAGCACACACAAGACTCATGCTGACTCAACCAGACAAAAGTCCCAGCATAGAACTGGGGAAATGGGCAGCAGGCCCCAACCTTAGCTGAGGAACTATTGGCAACTGATTACTGCAGGGTGAGGGAGAGTAGATCTTCTTTAAGGGAGATTCTCTAGAGAGCCTGACTAGACTTCAGTGGATGAACTTGTACTGTGGGCCACCTGGATACAAACACTTGACCAGATAGGTTTAACATATATGACAGAATTCATGAAATCTTGTAGGAGTGATTGGGGACCATGGATGTGGGGGGGGGAGGTCTAAATTTGATTAAGATCTATTACATGAAATGCACAAAAACTCAATAAAATGTACATAAAAATAAAATAAGTTTTGTTATTATAGAAAGGGAAAAGCAACTGACGAAAATGTTTAATGATTCATCCAGACATTAGATTAGGCAAGAAGCAGGTGCTAGACATGGAATTGGACTGTTCCTAAGGTCCAAAACTTGTTCCTCAAGGCTTTCCAACTTATTGAGACTGTGCTATGTCCTTTTGGGTGCGTACCCACAATCTCTCTGATGTTCCACGTATTGAGTTGAATTGGCATGGGGGTGAGTGGGAGGGAAAAATGAGGCCACTGATCTTGCACAGAGACGCTGACTGTATCTTCTCACAGCCTTTCCAAGCAGATGGTTGGTGTGATACTATCAACAACCGGGCCTATTGCCACTATGATGGGGGAGACTGCTGCTCTTCCACACTGTCCTCCAAGAAGGTAAGTGAAAGTACTTTGGAGGGTGGAAAAGTGTGGCTCTTGGGATCAGCTGGACTTTGCCTAGCTCTCCCTTCATGGGGCATCATGACTGTTTTTTACTCAGTTGTCAAGAAAGAACTAAAATGAACTAATACTAGAGTTTCTAAAGTGACAAGATTAAGATTAGAGATGTTTAGTGTAGGTTTTTAGAAAACACTAGCCCTCTAAAGTGTCAGCTCAGTGACTTGTCACAACAGAAATGGCTTTTGATGCTGAAAGTCTCATGCCTGCTTATCATTTCCCTGGAAGCTTCTCTGTAGTCAGAGAAAAGAATGGTTTCCTACACTTGAGGATTCTGGATTACCAGTGAAAGGCTTTCTAGTTATTATTCATCTTCATAATTAAGAAAATGATCTTATATGGAATGTTGTAAGTGCATCATAAACAGATGTTATACGGCTGCTGCTAGAGCTACCTGGGAGCACACTCTGGACCAGATCTCAAGCAGTAACCGTTTGCCTGATGATCTTTGTCCCCTTGGATGTGTTAAATCAATACATGAATTCAAGTTAAGTCTATAAAATTGAGTGGGCAGAAATGTTATAGTGTTTGGGTAAAAATCCAAGCACTCCAAAGATACTCAGAAACCTCGGTTGGCTAGTTGGCCAATGTAATGAATTAGGAATATGTGTTTGTTCCTTCTTTCTTTGTATGTGTCTCCACAATAAAGCCATGATCAACTATATACAGACTGGAACACTGCATAGATATTTTCTTCTGATCACTCACTATGTGCAGGCACTATTCTCACCACTTTCATGAATTAACTTATTTAATGCAGAGCACAGAGGGGAACATCACGTCTCCAAGCAAGTTGGGTGTCTTGCTCTGAAAACTAATAAATCTTAAACTAAGAGAAACAGATCACAAACTTGGACCATAGGTCAGAAATCAGCTAGTTTCTATTCTCATTTGTGAAAATAAGTAGTCAAGGAGCCTATCTATACAAGAAAGCAGGGCACTTAGGAAGAAATGAAGCAACTCTCTCCTCATCTCAGAGTCAACAATCCTAGAATTTATCTTTATGAATTTCAATGCCTTGAGATTGCAAAGGCTTATCAAGTCACTTCATTATTGCATACTAAGCTGCATTTTATTTCATATGTGCAAATATGCTGGGAAACTTTCCTAAACAACCCCACTCATTCTCCAATCTAGATGTCCAATCACCAAGCCCATCGCTTCAGTATGCCTGAACTAATATTATATATGTTATGCCCATTTATTTTTAATCTCATTTGATCATCAATACCCAGACTATTTGTCCCTCTCAACTCATGTCTCCAAACTATCCTGTTCTCTTTTATGTTAGTTATGGACACTCAAGAGCAAGTGCTTACCTCTTGACAGCAGTAAAGAGCAGTTCTTTCCGGACTATCTTGGACATGAGTGAGGAAAAATGACATAGAAGGAAGATAGCCAGACACAGTGGGTGGAGAGATGCGGTGTTCCATCACCTCAGTGTATTCTGGGCTCAATAAAGACAAAAATTCATGCAAATGAGATGATACCAATGTCCCAAGAGCAATGATGAGTTAGAATGAGAGAATGTTTAGAGATTCTTGGCTCTCCATATAGTAGTCATACTTCGAGTTAAGTTACCTCTGGCCTAGCCTGCTGAGAGAAAATGCTAACATCCATCTTTTCTACTACTCTGGAGTTTAGGCTGGATGACAACAGCAACAAAAGCAATCACATTAGGTGTTAGTAGGAACATTAGGAGTTATTCCAACAAGAATTATAGTAGCTGCCAGCCACGGTGTGTTTTACAGCTTCATTTGTCCAACCACACCACCATGCTCTGGGAGGTAGTTGCTGGTGTTTTCTCAATTTATAGATGAAGAAAGGAAAGTCATGAAGGATTACCTTGCCTAAAATGACATGTTATGGAAGTGAGAGAGTAGGTGTTAATTTCAGGTCTATGAAGTGAACTTAGAATTCCATGATTCCTCTGGGACTAAGTGAGGAAAGCGAAAACTGGTTTAAAAGTGTGAAGCTTGGCACAGAAATGGGTTCTTTCAACTTCCCACTCATTCCTCTAGGTCATTCCATTTGCTGCTGACTGTGACCTGGATGAATGCACCTGCAGAGATCCCAACGCAGAAGAAAATCAGTAACTGTGGGACCAGAGCCCCTCGCTCCTCTGCCCTGGAGGCAGACTGAGAGAGAGGCTCCCGCAGCACAAAGCAAAAGGCAGATGAAGAAGACAGGTGGGAAGGTGGAAGAAGGAGAGTCTGTATCAGAGCCTTTACAAAATGTAAGGGAGTGTTTATAGGTGCAGGGCAATGCATCAAGTAGCCCAAGTAGGGAAGAATTAGAGGCAGAAGGTTCTTTAAAGGAGCAGTTGATTAAAAGTAGAAGGGGAAATGTGATAGAGAAGCAGGACCCTCCCCCATCTGTATTGTACTCCATCCCTTCTTCAACTCTTGCTCTACTCCCCACTTTGTACCCAGCCAACAGCTCAGCACCACCCAATGTGTAAACCAACATCAAAATATTAGAAGAGAAGCTGCCAGGGACACTGTATGAATACCCACTTCAGATGGACTGTCATCTTTCAGGACTCATCTACTCTAAACTGGCCCTTTGCCTTTCTTTTGTGTAGTCTCTCTTAAATAATGAGGTTAGTTATTAAGTCTTTATAAGTATTTAAACATAATTATATAAATATATTATATATTATATTTTTGCTGTTTACTTAGCTAAAAATGATCCATTGTTCCACACATGCTGCTGTGAAGTTCATGTCCAAAATGGATGCTGAAGCTTCGAAGACAGAAAGAAAAGTTCTTCTGTCATCCTTCTATAGATGGGGATTGGCAGACTGAATGGGAAATGGAGGAGTGAGAGAGCATAGATGCAATTCTGGATGCTAGCATGTCAGGTGATCATCTTTCTATGACCTGGGAGTCAGAACCATCTAAAAGAGATAGATTTTAAATGCTAATAGTAAGGGGCAAGGAAAGTTACGTGTTAGAACCTATTGATGATGGGTCCAGGAGAATGAGACAACAGTTCTTAAGTATCTATCAAAAAAAAGAAATACAAACTTTTCTCCACTTATCAGAACTCTCAGGTGGAGTTGGAGAAATCCAGGATCTTTCCCACTTCTATATGTGCTTTGTCCAAGGGTGGCTGCTAGCCAGCCAGTCAGAAAGTTTGTATTAGGGCTCATTCTTTGAACACCAGGCCTATAGAAACTTATACACTCTTCATGCTTGGCCTGCTGTGTTTCTTCCTATTGGAAGTCACCAAGCCTGGCCGTCATTCACAGTCACATCACTGATTGTTGATTTTCTGAGGAAAGTAAACCTTTTGAAAATGCCATGGGAGAAAGGTGGGAAGAAAGGAAAGACCAGGGAGTAATGAGAACTGAAGGCTGTCACAGAGGTAAGAGGTCAGACTTAAATCAGATTTGAGTATAAGAGGATTAGATGAGTGAAGGAGTCTTGGTCCCTATTCTAAGTCTCCAATGGAGGGCAAAGTGGATATTATGAGCAACTCAGAGTCTGAAGTTTATTCACTGTAATGCATAGTGTGTGTGACATGGAGCAAGGGTGACCCTCTGTGGGAGAAGGAAGAATTTCAACTATTTAGGATCCATTTTGTTGTTTTTTCTTTCTCTTATTCAATAGATATATGGACTATACACAAAATGACCCTGCCTCTGTTTATATACATCCTGGGATTACATATTTTTCCATGAGATCTATTCTAGGTTTTCTTAGATTCTGGGTCAGCCCTGGGGAAGAGAATAAGGATTCAATTTCTTCTGTTAAACATCCAGTCTTATCACTTTAGGAGGGCTCTGAGCAAGCTTTTGCCCCTCAATTTCTTCTCCAGCGGAAACTAAGAACAGGCAAAGCTTGGAGCCTAACTATGGTATTTCTATTGTCTCACTTTTTGCTTCTGCTATTTTCACTATCACAAAGTGATTAATTTGTGAAGTGAGAAAGGAAACATCTACCACTATCAAAATATTACCCCATGCTGTCATATATGAAGAACAGTACTCTGGAATGAGGAAACAGAATATGCCAATATACACATGCTCATCTATGGTACAAGGGATGAGAGCAATGAAGCGGCCCTGAAAGGGAAGAATGAAGCTTGCCCATCCAGAATTCCCTTGTCACTTCTATTTCTAGCTATAAGGGAAATAATAGTGTAAATGTCATTCACTGTCTGGGTCAGACTTAGTGCTCCCAGTCAGGAAAGAGAAATCATATATATTACTGAGATCCTGATCAGCTTAATATGGAAAGGACAATGGAGAAGTTAGATTATCCATTAAACACACACACACACACACACACACACAGAGAGAGAGAGAGAGAGAGAGAGAGAGAGAGAGAGAGAGAGTAAAATAGTTTTCTTGGAGAAAACATTCAAATTCCTGCATGTGTATCAAGCTCTGCCTTGGGCAATCCTGCCAGAGACTGGATTATCCTAGGCATAACACAGTGCAGGGAGTCTGTGGCCCCCACCAGCCTCAATGAACCCATGGTGCCCATCATTGTAAACCCATGCTCAACCTCTTCACTGAGTCCATTAAGCGTAACAGTGAGGATACTTCCATCTCATGCTTCATCTTCAGATATTTTGTTTTCTGTTGGCAATATTCACCACTGCTCTGGGAAGGCAAGAGGACAGTTTCTGGGATATGTGAAAAGCTCCTCCAGCTGAAGGCCATAATCAACTATAGACAGAGGTGGCAGGCTTGTGCAGACCTTAATCCCTGGATCCTATTGTTTGGAGCAACTTAAGTCACAGATAAAGAAAACAGTCAAGATCGAGGGACAACTCACCCTTGTCCCATGTGACTCCTGCTTCTCCTATACACTCATAAGGTCATCCAGGGCTTTCCCCAGAGGTTTTTCTGTTTGGTTCTTTGTTCCAAAGTCACTTCTCTGTTTCCCCCTTTGTCTTACTAATTGGGGACTTCAAGGTCCACATGGCCCAGGAGTGACTGACTTCAGCTATTAGCATGGCAACCTTCAATGAGAGATAGAGAAGATCCTGGCAGAAAGAGAGGGGGGGAGGGAGAGAGAGAGAGAGAGAGAGAGAGAGAGAGAGAGAGAGAGAGAGAGAGAAAGTAAAGAGCTCTTCTTGGTTCTCTCCTTCCCTTTCCTCCATTACAAGGCATTGGTCTGGACACTTGGTCTATTCTGTGTGATCACTATTGAGTTGTCAGTTAGCACCCAAGGGAATAGTTTGATTGAAAACACAGTGAGAGGAGCTGATCTACTGTATTGTAATGTAAAACAGCTACCAGCCAGTTATTTTATAAGATTATAAGATATTCATTAAAAAATCAACACACAAAATATGAAGTGTCTTTAGTGTCTTACTCTTTGTTTAAATGATTTCATTACTTCTGAATTGCTTTTCATTGGCCTGTAACAGGCCCAGACTTCCCTCATTGGCTGATCATTCCTTCTCGTCACTTGGAAACTATTTGTTACATAAATAGGATGTTAAAGGGAGATAAACATGAAAATTCATAAGAAGACATGACATTTAAAAAGGTAGAACATGCTACAGTAATGCCAAATGCCTTATGGGTTGTGAAATAATGTGCTAGAATCATGTACGATTCAGAAGAAATAAGCACCAGCCCTGGATACCAACAGAAGATGGCATTTGGAAGATACTTAGTGAAGAGTATATGTGATTTGATGGTCAAAAGTGGAAGAGTGGATGGAGAAGAGAAGATGTGGAGCTAGCAATGGGAAAGACTGCACACTATTGGACATCAGTGAGGTGTTCAGCTTAGCTAAAAGACAAAGCTAAGTTAATATGTACAAGGCATTTGGTAAACACAATCTTATTTGATCCTCTGAAAAGAATCTGCAAATCACATATTCTCACTTCACAGATAAAGAATACCAACCACCAGTTTGGAGACGGAAGTTCTCCAAGGTCACATGGCAATGCTTACTTCAAGCCTGGTTTGTGGGATACCAAGACTTAAGAAAAATTAAAACGGTGATTAGTAAGCCAGGGAGAGGCAGAGAACAATGCTAGAGATGATGGACCTCTGCCACCTGGAATCATGATCATCACTGACAGACAGGGAAGCCAGGAGGAGCAGGCTTTAGAACAAGAACATGTATTTTCCCTTTCTATGAACTTGGTTTGATGGCCAAGCAGACAATTAGTCAGAAATGTTTCATAAAGCCATGCTCAGGAACCTAGAGGAGGCCCCTGCACCTGGCTATGTTCTCTGGCCATGTGAGGCACAGCACAGCTAGGAAGGATGATGGATCTCTCACTCTGCTTACCAGCCACCTGGGAAGCCTTGAAAAGAGAGCTGGAAACATAATTTTGGAACATGGGAGAAAAGTTCGTGCTTAGAAATCAACATTTGATAGTAAAAAGAATATTACCCGGCATTTTCTTTAATGGTTTATAAAGTACTTTCATGTGGTTTCTAGGAGCAAGAACAGGTTTTATTTTACCCCTATATAAATAAAGATACTGAGTGATGAAGAGGTTATTGGAAACTTGAAGTTCATATACCAAAGTGCAGAAATCCATCCTTTTTTCCTTTTGCCCCTAAATGCAATGTGTTCTTTGTCATAGCATATTTATCTCAGTATACCCAAAAGTGAGTCCTGACCCTACTGCAATGAGAAAGATTAACAACTTTTATCAATTTCTGTTAGAAGTTACCCATTGTGGGTTTTTTGTTGTTGTTTGGTTGGTTTGTTGTTTTGGTGGTAGAATCTATCTCTTCTCCTGCCTGCTGTCCATGGCAAATGGTAGGAAAGCCTTGAGCATCCATGCCAGGCTCTGAGTATAAGCAGATGCCCTTGAACATGCCAGTTACTACAGCTGAACAGAAACATCTGGCAAGACTGCCTTCTTCTTAATAGCTTCCCCAGGGAAAGTCCTGGACAGAGACTTTAGAGCTCTGGTTTCCATTTGACTGACAAACTTAAATGACATGATGAGTCATTTACAAACTGGGAACCAAAAGCTGAGAGACCTGATGCTCATAACCCAATCAGGCCATGCAGGTTATAAGGAGCTCCGGTGGTGAAGAAGGAGGCCAAACAGAATGTTATACACTTAGAAATTTCCTCAGTGCATCTCTGACTGGCTTTGAGTCACCTACTGTGTGAGTGAATGGCGGGGGGTGTGTGTGTATGTGCATGTAGGTGTATATGTGTGCATGTATGTGTGGAGACCAGAGAACAACAGCAGGTTTTGTCCATCAAACATCATTTTTTTTATATTTTATTTATATTTTTATTTTATGTGTATGAGTGTATTGCCTGTATGCATGTAAGTGCACTCATATCACACAGTCCTTGTGGAGATCAGAAGAGGGCATCAGATCACCTGGAACTGGAGTTAAGGATGGTTGTTAGCTGCCATATGGGTGCTGTGAACTGAACCCAGGTCCTCTGTGAGAGCAGCCAGTGCTGTGAACAGGTGAACCATCTCTCTAGCCCCAAGCATCATTTCTTTTGAGGCAGGGTTTCTCATTGGCCTGGAACTGGCCAAGTAGACTAGACATGCTGGTTAGTGAACCTTAAGGATCCACTCATCTCCACCTGCCCAGTGTTGCAAT